CTGGCTGGGGAATTCTGGGAATTGAAGTCCACACCTCTTCAAGCTGCCAAGGTTGAGAAACTGATTTAGAGGGTTTCATTAAAATGGAAAGAAGGGAAATTTTCATGATAGGACAAGTAGAAAGGAACAGTAGAATTAACTGTAAAGAAAAAACACCCCATTATCCAGTTCAGACAGAGCTTCCTCTATTCTCACCACCACTTTGAAGTCAAGGGTTATATTTGCTTCACTTGCCAAAATCATGGTGCTGTATTTCATCTAAATCTGGATCAGGGAGATGTTACTCTCCCTGCTGGCCTCCAGACACAGAGACAGGAGGCAGGAGTATCCATAAACGGGGGGCACTCCAGCTGCATCTCTACTGCTCTCTGTTTACTTCAATCCACCTCCCGCTTCCAGCATATGTAAATGGGGAGTAAAATGGTGATACCAATGAGATGAACGGAGGTTCAAGGTCACCCACTTACCTGTGAAAGGTGACATGGGCCCCACGCCACCGGCGGTTTTTGCAGTTGGCCACTGAGCAACAACTTGCCATGTTTGCACGGGAGACCCCTTGTGAGGTTGGGCCAAAGCTCCTGACTTTCTGTTGTTACCCTACGTTAAATCCAGCGGCGGGATGCTTTGGAATTACAAGCGAGAAAGCTGAAACCCCCCCCAAAACACAGCTCTTCCTGGTAGCATGCTAGTTCCTCAGTGAAGCTTGCCCACATCAAATTTCAGAATCAGCCCAGTAAAACAGTGTGTGTAAGACTACCAGTTGAAGCCTCTCTAGGACTTTGACAGTTCACATCTTTGTGCCCCAGACATCTCCAACGGAACCAGCAAGAAAAAGAAGAATATCTCCTGGCAACACCTGGAAGAGATAAACAATAAAGGCATTAAATTAACTACATTTCCCACCCATTCCCATCTCCATCCCTGATGGATAATTGCAGGTAGAAAATATTTTGCATTTATAGAGGTCTACTATAGCTTCCATTTCAGAGATATTGTGAAAGGCAGTATAATAACCACTCTGTAAGACAGATGGTGTCCATTCTTTGGGGAAGGTGCTTAAACTGTGGTCAGATCTGAATGTCGCGCAGATCCTTCTTATGCACAGAACACAAACTATGTCCCCTAAAGGTAGCCCTGGACTCATCAAGATCCAAAAGAGGAGACCTCCCAGTCTTCCAGTCGTTTTGGGTTTCTATTCTGCTTATTTCCAGCTCAAAAACTCAGGCAGGCTGGGGATTACAGAATCAGAGAGTGGGAAGAACTCTCGGAGGTCAGCTGGTGCAACCCCTTGTTCAGTCCAGAATCTAAAGCTGAAGAAGTCTAATATATCTAGAGAAGGCTGAACTACTCTGTGGATCAGAGCCTCTGATTCCAATTTTGTTTCTTCTGCAAAGCCACCAGGCTCTTAGATAGGCAGTATCTTCTCACGCCTTGATCCCTGTCAACCAGTTGGCAACACTTACCCACCTTACAAAGTTGTGCACCTGACAAGTCCACTTTTTGGAACCTTTTTTGAATACCTATAAATCCTATACAGGGATAGCAAACTCATCAACCTGTTGCTCATGTGATCAGAATAAGATCAATCAAACAGAATCAGTAGACTTTAGAGAACCCCAACCTTTGCGGAAACGTGAGAAGAAAAAAAAAAACAGATCGAGTCCAAAGACGACTGACCCTCCTTAAGAAAAAAATAAGACATGAAATATAATATAATAAATAAATACGACCCTTGGTTTGGAAGTCTGTAACATGCTTTATCTTCACTGATTATTTAAGCACTGGCTGGCTTCACACGACACCCTAACCTTCAATCAGGTGAGCAAAACACAGCTTCTGTATTCTCAAAAACATAGAATATCCAAAGAAACAAGGAGGGGAACCTGAGCCACACAAGCTATTAGAACCGTAAGGTTTTTCTAGCCCAGAATCTATAAGTCCAAATGAGACTCTAGACCGAGGTATTTCCAAAGAAAGTTCAGCTTTTACTGTTGGCCAAGAGAAAAGCAGGGTGGACCACTCTCTGTCCGGCTGGCG